CTCTTCTTTTGTCACCATTCTTAGAAAGCTTTGGCTATCCTCACTGCCTCCATTTCCTCCTTCTCACTTCAGTACAGCTCTTGGTACCCCCAGTCACTTGACTGAAATTGCTCTTTTCAGGATTACTGCAGCTTTTGACTTTGGTGACCACGCTCTCTTTCTAGATTAGCTTTTCCAAACCTTTTGGCTTCTTTGACATTGTTTTGCTTTGATTTTTTATCAAACCATTCCTTCTTTTATTTCCTTTGCTGTATCATTATCCTTTTCTTGACCATTAATTGTAGGTGTCCCCAGGGCTCTGCTCTGGACCTTCTCTTTCTGCACTTTCTTGCTGTGTCATCAGTTTCCGTGGGTTTGGTTATCGTCACTTTGAAGTTGATTCTGTTCGGTTCAGACCCGCAAATTCACAAACATAGATGTAGTGGCACTTCTTGTTGTGACAAAGAACTGGAAGCAAAGTAGATTCCTATCAGTTGGGAAATGACTGAACAAATTATGAGATCTTGGAATCATGGAATATTATTATAGTAGAAGAGATTGCAAATGAGATAGATACCTAGAAGGACTTCTGTGAACTGATGTGTAGAGTGAAATAAAAAGCCCCACAAGTACAATTTATATAATAATCAATGACATGATTCAAAGAATCAAAGAATGATTCTGACTCCTATCAGAGAATCTGAGAGTTGGAAGCTGACCTCAGTGACCAGTGAGTCCAATCTGAATTTGAAAGTCCAGCCTTTGTTTGAAGACCTCCAAGTAGGGGGAACCTACCGCCCCTCTAGGCAACATCCCATTCCGTTTTGGGACAGTTTGGATTGCTAGGCACAGGAGCTCTCTTCCCACTCACCCAAACCACTAGTCTTGCTTTCATCCCATCTCTCTTAGCCATCATCTGTGAAGAAGGGACCAGCTATGCCCACCTGCTACTACCCCCAGAACTTACAAGCCAGCCTAGCTGAAGCAGCAAAGCCCCCTGAGGGAGAGACAGGAATCAGTGATTGCCAGGAAAGTCAAACCATCACCACCATCACCTTGACGACCATTTCCCTGTAGATTGTGATGGAGACAGCCCAGGACCCTGAGCCACAGAGCCTTGGGAATAGCAGGGTCCCCCAAACCACCAGGCCTACTTCCAGTCCAGTTCTTGACAGTCATCACTGAGGGAAGAGATCTTTGCAGAGAAGGAATCCAGCTTCCTCGTCACTACTAGCAACAACTCCTGACCGGCTGCCACCAGGAGACAGGCAAGTCCAGGAGTCCTGGCTTTGGCAGCTCCCCCAGATTACCAGTTTTGCTCCCAGCCCCCAGCCTTCACAGCTATCGTCTGGGGAAGCAACTTCTGTGAAGAAGGGGCAAGCCATCCCTACCGACCCCCACCCACAGAGCCAGGCAAGGACTCTGAGGGAGAGACGGGAAGCAGCATGTCAGGCAAGCCTAACTACCCCCACCATCTTGACTGCCACTGGCCCTCAGATCATAGCTGGGGACAGTCCAGGGACCTCGAACCCCAAAACCTTGGCAGTGGTAATGCTTCCATCCTAAGGTCTCCAGCCGTCATCCTGGGAAGCAGCCTCTTTGGAAATATAGTCAGTCTGGTGCTCCTCCGAGTGTTACAGCTATAACTATGTGAGACCCAGAAAACATTGTTCTTGCTACCAGAGTCCTTGGCATTATCAAATAATTCAGTGTCAGAAACTGACATGGTTTTATCAGTGGAAATAACATTAAAGACTAAGTATTACTGTCTACTTTGCTGCTATCCCCTAAGGATCTTGACTTGCAGCTGAAACCTTCTATATGTGTTGTCTCCTTCATTCGAATGTGAGCTCTTTTAGAGTATGGACTTATCCCCAGCACTTAGCACAGTGTTCTGCATATAGCAAGTACTCCATAAATGTTTTTTAAAAATAGGTACATTTTTTTCAATTACGTGTAAAAACAATGTTTAACATTCTTTTTAAAAAAATCTTGAGTTCCCATTTCTCTCCATCCTTCCCCCCCTCTCCCCTTATTGAAAAGGCAAGCAATTTAATATAGGTTATACATGTGTAGTCATGCAAAAAATATTTCCATATTAGTTGTGTTGTGAAAGAAAACAGATAAAAAAAGCAATGAAAAAATAGTGTTGTTTTTTTTTTTTTTAAATACGCTTCAGTCTGCCTTCAGACTCCATCAATTCCTTCTGTGGAAGTAGATAGCATTTTTTATCATAAATCCTTTAGAATTGTCTTGGATCTTTGTATTGCTGGGAATAGCTGTCATTCATAGTTGATCATTGTACAATGTTGCTGTTGCTAAGCAGAATTAGAGGCTTCTGTTCAGTCTGGGATTCCTGCCCTGGTTTTTCTTCTTCAGGCTGGGCTGGGTGTTGGAACTGAGACCCTGCTTTGCACCTGGGGTTTGGTACACTGACCAGGCCCTCTGTATCTAGGATCCCACCCCTTCTTGATCTGCCTTGGGTCTGTGGCCTGAAGTTAGGCGCTTGGTGACAGAGCTACCAGCTTGCACCTGTCCCTGTCTCAGTGCCCCAGGGTGTGTCTGCTGGAGCTATGGTATGAGTTTGGGACCTTCTCTTGCCCTGGTGTACATCCTTTCCCTGAGCACTAACAAGCTGTGCCCAGCCCTGGTCTCCAGTAGCCTCTTGGCAATGTCTCCCTCTGCAGAGCTGGGCTGGACAAATGATCTACTGATGTTTTCTGGATTTCCATATGAGGATTCAGTTTTCTAGATCTCTTTAGAGAAGTTTTGTGGAGAGAAGCTCCATCTTACTGCTTCCTGCCACTCTTCCAACTTGATGCATGATTTGAATTTATCAAGTGCAGCAAAGTACTCTCTTACTCTTTCCTTTCTTACCTTGGGTATCACCTTCCTGTTATCACAGCAAAAACAAAATAACAACTGAGCAGTCAACAAACATTTATGAAGCGCTTCCTTCCGTAGGCAAGGCACTGTGCTAAACCTTCAGGATACACATCAGACAAAAGAGCTATCTGCCCTCATGGAGCTCACAGTCTGTAATAGGACAACAGCATGAAAATAACTGTGGACCATCGAGCCGCTCTGTCTTCTCTCTGTTGTCGTTCATTGTTGTCTCATCCGCCCCAAGTAGAAGTCCTGTCTCTTCTTTGAGTCCTCCTGTTCTTCAAATGGGACATTCCATCCCCTGCCTCTTTATCTTTGTATAAACTGCGTCCCCTTCCTGGAAATGCTTTCTATTCTCATGTTTGCTTAGGAAACACTGTCTTCCTTCCACGCTCAGCTCAGGGGCCACTGCCTTCTGTGGAAAGCCTTTTCTAATCCCCCTAGTTGATAGTTCTCTGCCCTGCACCCTCAAAATTACTTCATTATATACTTTTCATTATGTACTATAGGTACTTTATGTATGCCTATCTGTGCACACATTTTTCTCCCTATAGAATACAAGCTCCTTGAGGGCCTGGCCTGTTTAGTTCTAGTCTGTATCCCATGCTCAAGCCATAGTCTTCTGTCATATATATATATATATATATATATATAGTAGGTGCTTAGTACATGCTTGTTGAATTGAATTGTATTGAATTACTCCTGAACTTAGACATGTTGCCCGTATCTTTCTCTTGAGCCTTTTATCTTGCGTCACCAGCTGCCTGCTAGACATCTATACCTGAATTGTACTGTGGGCATCTCAAACTCACTTTTTTTTTAACAATCAATTTGACCCACCCACCAATCCACTCCATCAATTTACTCAACCCTTTATTTGTTTCACTTATCTTTTATTTCCTTGCCCCCAGCTACCTTTTCTTTATCCTTCTTGAATTGTAACTCGTCAAATTTTGATACCCTAAGTCTTCTTTATCCTCTGTAATCCTTTTACATCCTTTTTTTTTTTTTCCCCAGAGGCAACTGGGATTAAGCGGCCTGCCCACGGTCACACAGCTAGTGTCTGAGGCCAGATCTGAACTGACGTCCTTTCTGATTCCAGGAATGAAACTCATTATTCTCTCCCCCTGAATCTCCTCCCAACTTTGCTGATTCTTCTGGGGACTTCACCGTCCTTTTAGTCACTCTGATTTGAAACCTTGTGCAAGTTTTCAAGTGCAGCAAATCCTTTATTGCCCCGTTATAATAATTATCACCATAACAATAACAATAAACTTATGTAGTACTTTAATGTTTGCAGAATGCTTTGCACATATTTTATCTTCACAATAGTACTGGGAGGCGGGTGCTGTCATCCCCATTTTGCAGATGAGAAAACTGAGATTGAGAAGGGGTTAAGTGACCCCCAGGGTCACATGGCTGGTAAATGATGTGGGATGTGAACTCAGGCCTTCCTTGCTTCAAGTCCATGCTCTATCTACTGTGCCACCTAGCTGCCTACCGATAAGTTGCCAAGTCTCAGTGACTCTGCTTGGATAACACATCTCACATTCATTTGCTTTCCATTCATACCTTAGGGGCTCATCACTTCTAAACTGGACTGTTGAAGTAGGCTTCTAATTAAATGATCTCCTTGCTTCTGAGTGCTCCCTTTCCCGATCATTCTCAACTGCCAAATGAATAGTCTAACTCTGGCATTTAAAGCTCTTCTCCACTTTTACCTTCCTTCATGCATTCTAGACAAACTTGCCCACTAGCTGGGAGCTCTGTCTCCCATTCCCAGAATGTACTCCATCCTCACCTCTAATTTAAAGATTAAATTAAATCCTTAACTTCCTTTTAGGTTCAGCTGGGAAGCCACCTCCTATGCAAAGCTTTCTTTGATTCCTTACCCCCTCCACCACTCCCTTCCATAGTTTTTCCTTCTCAGCCCACTGAAGATTTTCTTGATTTTTTTTGGTTTTGTTTTCAATACCTGTGGTGTCTCATAGTAAAACACAGGCTTCTTGAATGACTGCTTTGTGTTTTGTCTTTGTATTCTCAGCATTGAGCACAGGACTTTGTATATTGTAAGTAATTTAAAAACATTTATTGAATTGAATCATTTCTAATTTTAAAAATATTTTACTCCACAGGGAAGCTGAGAAGACCAAACTCCTTATAGCTGCACAGAAGCAAAAGGTGGTGGAGAAAGAAGCAGAAACAGAGAGGAAAAAGGCTATTATCGGTACCTAGTTTCCCATTTGCAATGAATGTCCCTTGTGGATAGGTGTATATTAACAGATAACTAGCCATCTCATACTGAACTCTGTGATGACTCAGTCATTCTTGGGGGCAAAAGCATTTATTAAGCACCTAGTGTATGCCAGGCACTATGGCAAGTACTTTACAAATACCTCATTTGGTCCTTATAATAACCCTGTGAGGTAAGTACTATAATTATCCCTATTCTACAGTTGAGGAAACAAGGACAGGCAGAGGTTAAATGACTTGGCCAGGGTCACACAACTAATAAGTGTCTAAGCTCAGATTTGAACTCAGGTCCTCCTGATTCTAGGCTTATCCACTGTGCTACAGAGCTGTCTCCTTGGACAATAAGCGCCAAGGGGGATCCCCTTCCCCACCCCCCCCCCCCATCTTTCTCATCAACCCCACAACTCCCAAAGCAAGGTGTGAGATCATCATACTTTAACTGTAGCCTCCACTGGGTGCTGGTGGGAGTGCTGCTGTTTCACTTGTTTTCAAAGACGTTTATAGTGGATATTATTGGCAATATGTCCCCCCATGGACTTAAAAATCCCAACAACTAAGAGTCAAAGAAAGAAAACAAATGTGGTAAAAGGTTAGGAAGTCTATACCTAATGATTGGTTCCTTTACTGATGCAAGCACTCAGTTCTAATGTACATCCTATTGCATTTTGCTCGATTAAACTCTGCTCAAAATAGACTTGTGGTCATGGGTGTACTGTCCACGCACCCATCACTTTGTATGACTTCTCTGCTTGTCTAGCTCATCACTGGCCCCTTCTCTATCTATTGCTTTACATGTAAGGGTTGCAGAATTATTTTCATATTAATTTGGCCAAAGCATAGTTGGGCAGAGAAATAAAATATAAATTGTATTCCAAAGCCAAAATAAATTGTTTTGAATTTTCATTAGTATGGATGTTTTAAGTTGATTTTTTCCCCCTCATTTTTATGGAATATTTGTTTGTAGTTATATATATGTACCCAGCTTTCCATAATAATTTCCTGTTTTATTTTTTTTAGCTATTTTTAGAAGAACACAAAACCTTGAGAATAAAGTGGAAAGCCTGAATTCTATGGGGGTTCCCTCCCTCTCGGAAAACATAACCAGAAGGTTCACACACAAGCCAGAAGCCCATCAATATAGCTATTGTTTCTTTGTTTTGTTTTTAGAGAGAGACATAGAAAATATCTTTAAGATTTTTTTTAGGAGAGGGAAGATAAAACTTTACTCATTAGATAAAACAAATATGAAAAGATATACATATATATTTCATTTCATGTTGTGGCTCACTAAAGGAAATAGAGGTTGATAGAAACATGTAGAAACAAGGGTGCTTTGGGTTGTAGGCCTCTCATATATCAGTGCCCTTTGAAATTTTGATTAGTGCTCTTAATTGTTTATCCTTGAAATTTCAAAGGTCTGCTGTAATAAGATAGTCTCAGGAGGTAATCATAGGAATAATTATATAAGAATAATTATTCTTTGTACTCTGCTGTCTCTTTGTTCTCTGTTGTCGGAGAAGCCTCACCTTTTTGGAGGTTGTCCCATGACTTCAGAGGATTCATCACTTTTGTGCCAAGCTCTGTGCTGGGTGTTGGGGACACAAGATGACAAATGACACGGCCTCTGTTCTCCAAGAGCTTAAAATAGAATATTAGGCTTAGGGCAAGACCTGTGATGTTGAGTTTCTTTTCATATTTACGTTCCTAATCAAATATCAAGGCATTGCCTTGTGTTAGATGCTGTGGTGGAGAAGAAAGCTATGCTACACAGTATTCAGCCACTATATTGTCTTCTGGAAATAAGGCCGAGACACGTAGTTGGGAAATTCTTTCCATTTTTGTAATTCACTCTGAAGACAGAAATAAAGTGCTGTGAAACCCAAGTGTGCCTGCCATGAATGGAAGTTGGGAAATATCGGGGCAGCTAGGTGGCGCCATAGTGCACAGAATGCCCGGCCTTGAGTCAGGAATACCATTGTTCCCCTAGCTCTGTGACCCTTAGCAAGTCACTTAACCTTTGTTTAAGGCAGTTTTCTTAACTGTAAATTGGGATTAATCATACGATTTAACTCCCAGGGCTGTGAGGATCAAATGAGATAATTGTAAAGGTGCTTAGCACATTGCCTGGCACATAGAAAGTGTTATATAAATGTTAGTTATTTTTATTATTATTCCCCAAGTAAAAAAAAAAAATCTGTTGATTGAATTTTTACCGTAATTGGTTTATTATGCTCTTGGTCTGTCTGTTGTGCTTAGTTGGAGTGCTTGCGTTGGCCATTCTTGCACGTGAAAAGACTGGTATGCTGTGAGCACCATGACCACCTCTTGTGTTCTTGGTGGAGGTCAGCAGCTGCCAGATAATGCTCCTCAAACACTGTTTTTACCCTTCTCAATTCTTTGCCATTTATAACCTCTAAGAATCTTTTCCCAGTTTGCCCCTTCTTTCTTTAGTCATTTCCCCATTCTTCTTTCCCTCCCCACTTGGGTATGTAGTCATGCAGTTGTCTTATTTGGGGTATTGTTTACCCTGCTGTTTTTCATGTCTGTATCTGACATTCTTTAAATAAGGATTAAGCCCTTTGAGCTCAAACACTGCATTTGACTTCTGTTTTCTTGTCATGGAACCTCAGGACAATTAAGTAGCAATTGCGTCTTTCATTTTTATTATTTTGCCAAGTGCTTATCAGGCAGCTCCTTCATGCTGTCTTTGAGGGGTTTGTAGTCTAGTGGTGGGCATAAGATTTACATGTCATAATATGATACCTAGTACTGGATTGTGTGTGTGCTAATAAATACTGCTTTTAACTTAAAGGGACATTTTTTTCCCCTTGTTTTTAATTGTAGAGGCAGAGAAAACCGCACAGGTGGCAAAAATCCGATTTCAGCAAAAGGTGATGGAGAAAGAAACCGAGAAACGCATTTCTGAAATTGAAGGTGTGTTGTTGCAATTGAGGGCTGCCCCTATTTTATGCACTGCCCTTCTTTCTCAGGGAAAGGAGAATTCTTGTCATTTCAGGGCGTAGGGAGAATACATGACCACAACCAGGTCTTCTCTTGACTGGTCACCAGTGCCAGGCAGGCCAGTTATAGGCAGCTCAACTGAAACATCTGGCTATGTTCTCAGTTGTTAGTCTGTGACTGTGGGTAAATTATTTGACCTCAGGCCTTAGTTTGCCCTCCTGAAAACAGGGTTGATGAGCTAGCTGCCTTTTTCTTTTCCTGTATGTTTCTTGTGACTTGATTTTTAACTTTTACTGTAGATTTTCTTCCATAATTGAAGAAACAAATGTTGGGTCCCCTGTAGATGCCAGGGCTCTTTTGATTTGTAAGCTTCTTTCAGTTCCCAAATGTTTTTTGAATATTCATATACTTTTTACTTTTGTACCCTATAATTTTTGTTTCTCCATCTTTGCCTCTAAGTGATTCTGGAGTAATTGTTTCTTCCAGAACTAATTGGCAGGAGATGATGGGATGGGTTAGACAGAATGTAAGGGAATGGAATGTGCCATCAATGTTGATTGATTCAGGCATTCTGTCAGGTGCTCTTGAGGGCACAAAGAACTGTCCCTCTTCTTAAGGCCAGAAATGCCTTTATTGTCCCTCTAGACTGGGCACTTCCTTCAGAGAGAGGGAGAGCAGGAATAACCTTGTTTTTAAAATTTAAATGGGTTATGGGATATGGCATTGCCAACCTTAATATTATTGTAGTGGCTAGGACTACATGACTAGAGAGAGAAAAAGGAGAAGAAAAAGAAAAGAAGAGCTAGAGAGGAAATAGACAAACTTAAAATGAGTAGAGTAATAAGGCTTCTTTTATTGAAAAATGTTTAATCAAATGGCTGATTTTTAAAGCTAAGTCAGTCATCCCTCTTATATACCCTCAGTAATAAGGCTTCTTTTATTGAAAAATGTTTAATCAAATGGCTGATTTTTAAAGCTAAGTCAGTCATCCCTCTTATATACCCTCAGATTCTGGGATGTGCAACTCGTCCTTCCTCAACAGGAAGAGATCTGAAATCTTCCCCAGCTGGGGGATAGTTTAAAAACTTTTATTTTAGTATTCTTTCACTGTGCTTTGCCTACTAGATGCTGCATTCCTGGCCCGAGAGAAGGCAAGAGCAGACGCAGAATACTACACTGCACACAAACATGCCACTTCAAACAAGGTGACTGGCTTTGCCCCCCAAACCTTCTTTTTCTGGTATTCTGGATGTGGGAAGTAGAAGGGTAGGGTTTGGCCTGAAATTTCCTATGGGTAATAATGGGAATGGTGGTAATCTTCTCTAACGTCTAGGGAAAGATGTACTGTGAAGTCTCTGCAGCCAAGTAAGTTGGGGAAAGTCAGCTCTTGGTTGGCCTGGGCAGAGGAAAGGAAGGGGGCGATATAAGACCAGAACTTGAAGTAATCACTGGTGCAGTTGGAATGTAATCAGGATTTCTGCTCCAGGGGAAATACAACCAGCAGCAGCAAGGGAACAGTGCTTAGATCGATCTAAGACTAGACAGAGTCAGAAATTCAGTTTTGGGAAACCAGGATCAGAGAGACGATATCGTGGTCGTCACGTCTGCCACAGCTGTTTAGTCCGTCAAGAAGCCAGGGCACTGGAGCTATGGTGAAGCTGCCTTCTTTGAGGGTCACGATTTGGGCCCTGCTGGAGCTCCTGCTGAGACTTGGGAACATAGGATCTTAGAATGGCCGAAGGTTCTCGGAAATCATCAACTATTAAGAGCTGGCACTAGGAAGCCTTAAAGCACTATAGAAAGTGCTTTGCGCATATTACCTCCTTTGGTCCTCCCCCAAACCCTTTGAAGTTTAGGTACTGTTATTGCCCCCATCTTACAGATGAAGCAACTGAGGCAGATAGAGGTTAAGTGACTTGTCCAGGGTCACATAGCTAATAAGTGTCCAACAAAGGATTCAAACTCAGGTCTTCCTGATTCCAAGTTTAGCACTTGATCCACAATGTAATCCTCCCTACCATTATTCATTTTTGTTGATTCCCTTGAGGACAAATGATGCTGCTAACAGGAATGTAGAAAGCTTCGCTAGGGATGATGATGTGGGTACTGGGCAACAGATGGAAGTTGTTAAGTAGATGTTTGTTTCATCGACGATCCCAGTTTAACTTAAGGGGCTCCAGAAGATAAAGAAATTGGTAAACCAGACAACTAGTGAAGAAGAAAGGACTTCAGATTTGGGTTGGTGGCTTGAGAGATAGGAGTGTTGGGCTCTTAGCCAATACAATCTAGTTAGATGTGTTTTACTAGCTCTAGTTAGAGCTAGTAAAAAATGTGTTTTCCTGGAGATTTATGGATCTGACAGAAGGCATTAAAATTGAAAATGAAGTTGAGGGAGAAAACTCTGTGTGTGTGTGTGTGTGTGTGTGTGTGTGTGTGTGTGTGTGTGTGTCTGTGTGTGTGTGTGTGTGTGTGTGTGTTGAGACAGAGTAGAGTGATACCAGGAGGAAGGGTGGTAATAAAACCCATGGCCTTCGATGTTTACACCCAAAGACACATAACATGAGAAAAATAAGCGAATTAGAGATCTTCATTCGAGGAAGGGTAAACCCAGCCTTGGAATATGTCTAGAATATTGTAGAGAAAGTGGACATCATTGAGGAGTCACAGGTCAGGTAGAAGTGGGGCAGAGGAGCAGCCGTGACTATTAAGAAGATGCACTTATGTAGAAATCCGTGTGTCAGAAGGGTGAAATATACTGGAGATCATTTGAGGGTGGATCAGTGGATTTTTAAAAAATTTTTCACTTTCATTTTTTTTCCTTTTACTCGAGTCTTCTTGAACAAAATGACTAATATGGAAATGTTTTACATAATTGCACATGTATAACTTGTATCTGATTGCTTAACATCTCAGGGAAGGGAGAAGGGAAGGAGAGAAGGAGGGACAGAATTTGGAACTCAAAACTTTAAATAAAAATGTTAAAAAATTGAGAAAAAAAGACAATTCTAATTTTAATGATTCCAGAATCATAGGATCAAGAAAACAATGTATGTTTACAGAATATGCATTCAAAACTTCTTACCTCCAACACATTTATAATATAACAACAATAACAAATGTACTAGCTGTGTGACCTTGGGCAAGTCGCTTAACCCCGATTGCCTCACTAAAAAAAAAAACCAAACGAACAATAACAAAAACTAAAGTATAATAAAAAGCACAAGAACTTGGTACATTGTCAGTTCTCATTGAAGAGAGCAACAATGCTCTGCGATCCCTAGCACTGTCATCTTAACTACTTAAATAACCTTTGGGCCTTGGAATCAGTGGATTTTTTACATCCCAAATTTACATTCTGCTAAGGAAATACAAAGCTGTCTTAGTGGAGGTTGAGGATGGGGAAGAACACTAACATCTGGGGGACCAGGAAGGGCATTTTGTGAGAAGTGGTATCTGAGGTGGGCCTTGTAGAAGAAAACTCTTAAGATTCCCAAAGATGGAGGCAAGAGGGGTAGCTAGGTGGTGCAATGAATAAAGTACCAGCTGTGGAGTCAGGAGGATCTGAGTTCAAATCTGGTCTCAGACACTTGGCATTCACTAGTTGAGTGACTCTGGGCAAGTCACTCGACCCCAATTGCCTCCCTAAAAGGGAGGCAAGGGTGGAGCTCACTCTTGGGTTGAGCGAGGGTCTGGCTGAAATGGAGAGGGCATGAGAACTGTTAGATAAATCTGGAGCTGAATTGTAAAGGACTTGAGATGTCAAAGAAAGGAGTCTGTCTTTTATCCTAGAGACTGGAGGGAGACCCTGAAGCTTCTGGGAAAGAGGAGTGACATGCCCAGTCCTCTGCTTTAAGGAAAATTATTTTGGCAGGTGTGTAACAGATAAGAGAGGAGAGAGTCTGTTGTACTATTTAAGACGAGAAATAATAAAAGCCTTAACTAGAATAATGCCTATGAGGGGAGAGAATGGGACAGATGTGAGAGATGTCGAGAAGAAGAATGGACAAGACTTGGAAAACTGATTGACGAGGCGATGGCCTAGATGTTCTCTGAGGCCTCTTTGAGCTTTACACCTGTGATCCTAAGATCCTCAGAACAAGAGGCCAGCATCAGATGAGATGAGGAGGATGCTCCTGGATTACCAGCTGACTGTCCTCAGTGGCAGGGAGCACCATACTCCACGGGATAAAGTAGGTAGCCTTCCTCAATGTGAGGTGACAAGGATGGAGGAGGCTAGCGCAGTTTGTTTGAATGAACCTCGAAGGAGGTGTAGGCGTTGGAGGGCTGTTAATAAAGGTACTACATGGAACAGAGGTTCTTAACCTGGGGTCCACATCTGTAAATAGATCTCAGGGGTCTGTGAACTTGGATGGGCAAGAAAAATTGCATCCTTATTTTCACTGACATCTGGAATTTATTATTTCTTTCACTTACGAATATTCTGAAAAGGGGTCCATAGGCTTCACCAGATTGCCAAAGGGGCCCATGATCCAAAAGGTGAAGAACCCCTGTAGTCTCCAAGTGGCAGTGGGGAGCAAGGAGGTCCCTTCTCCTTTGAACTTTCTGATCTCAGAGGAGTTGCCACCAGTGGAATGGGCTACCCAGGATAGCAATGTTCTCCAGGGACAGCCACATTTTTGTTGAAGTGAAAAGGTAGAAGCAAATGTGGTTGGGAAACCTGAGGATACGGGGAACTTGGGTCAGTAGATTTGTGGTTCTAAGCAACAGAGTGGAATGGGCTGGGTAATGACTGAAGTGGGCTGGAGGTGTGAGATGGGGGAGGAGTAGGAGTTTTGGGGGTGTGTCTGGCTTGTAGATAGAGGGGAGACTCTGAAGGTCTCTGCTCTGGTGGGGGGGGGATGCCAGGTGTTGCTCAATGGCTTCAGAATTCTTTCTTAGCAGTACTCAGGGGAACAGGGTGGTAAGAGAGAAAGGGTAAATCATTATTTTATAAAAGGAGGGGAGAGTGTCAAGTGTTCTAACAGCATTCCTCTTGTTTGTTCCACGCAGCTCAAACTAACGCCAGAATATCTGGAGCTTAAAAAGTACCAAGCCATTGCTGCAAACAGTAAGATCTACTTTGGCAGCAGCATCCCTAGCATATTCATGGACTCGTCTTGTGCTTTCAAATATCCAGATGCCAGGACTGGGAGAGAAATCTCTCTCCTCTCTAAGGAGGCCCCAGAGCCCTCTGAGAAAAGCCCCATTGGAAACAAAGCAAGCACAGGTTGATGTAAGAGCTGGAAAAACTTGTCTGTATCAAGATATGGCAGTTGGGAGGGTGGGTGGGTGGGGGCAATAATCGGGACAAGGGTTACAATGACTCTGCAAGTTAATTCACAGAAATACTGCTCAGTCTACTCTGCTCTCCTGGGATAGGCCTGGTTTATCCACTGACTGCAGGACACAGATACCCCAGCAGTCAGGTGGTTTTCTTCAACCACAGTTCTTTCAAGCTCTCTCTGTGTGTTCCTTTATAAGCTAGGTACTTGTGAATAAGAAAAAGACTAATGCTAAGACACTGCCTGCACTGGAATGTTAAACACAAAAATATGTATGAGTTACTGCTTTTCTAAGTGGCAATCTGCAAATGTTTACATCAGACCCTGGGGAAAATGTGTTTCCAGGCCAAAGGGACCCAGGTGTATGGTAAGTACAGTAAAAAAAAAAACAAAAAAAAAAAACCGCAACAACAACAACAAAAAACTACAAATGACTGGGTCCTAGGCCTCATTACTTTCCTCTTTGGGGTCTAGACCCAGAATTCACAGAAGTGATTGACATCTAGTCCATTGGGGTTCTTTGGGAAAGGACCTTCTAAGTGAGTGGGTTCTGTTGTCCGCAGCAAAGTTTGTGGCCACGTGCTCCATAGACTCTTGAAGATTTCTTGCTGCCACATCTTAGGTGTGTGTGAAATTGCACATAGGTAAAGAGATTCAGCAGCAACAGACTCAGGGACAGGGTGCTCCTGATTCTAAGGTCATTAAACTAATCTTTTCTTCTGTGAACCTAAGCACTGCTGTTTCTGATTTCCTCTCATCTGGGTGATTGTTGGGTTATATTTCTACCCAGGGAGTTTGTAGCAGGCTGTCTTAAGGCTGACTTGGGTGTTGCTTGTTCTCAGCTCAGCATCTGCCTGAGAATGGGGTAGGGCTTTGCTGTCCACTACACACTTTTATCCTAAGTCAAAGAAGTTTTGTTCTTAAAACTGGATTTGGGGGCGTCTGCATGCTCCAGCACTCTTATTTCTGAGGCCCAGTCCTGTGGCTGCCCTGGTATCTCTGTAGCACAATGGTTCTTGCTACTGTTTGTCAAAAACCCAAATGTAGTAAGAAGTATTGTTTAGTGCACTTTGACGTCCCTTACTTTTTAGGTCCTCCTCACTGGCTAGTTGGTAACTACCTAGTCTTGGGACGCTAAAGTGGGTCAGCTTGTTTGGCCTTCCCGAGCTGTCACAGGCAGGTTGTTATCCTGCCAACGGCACCCAAAAAGGAAGAAGAGTCCTTTTTGGGCAGTGCCACAGAGAGAAAGATTCTGAGTTGACACATGTCCTATAGGTCTGGGAGACATTACCTGGACCTCTGAAGACCCTCCCAAAAGCAACAGTAACTGAGTGTGCAGCTTATGAAGATGTTTCTAGTTGAATAAGAAAACCAGACAAGAAAATAATTTGTCTGCTCTTGTAGGTGGTGGTAGAAGATGCTCCACCTGAGCATCCACAGTGCCAAGAAGGTGAAGCCCAAACCTGAAATAGAACAGTAGTTCTTAAGGTCTGTTTTCTGGGCTATGTACTGTGGTGGCATTGTAATTGGATTTTTCTTTTTATTCTTTGCTTACTTTATAAATTCAGTTTTCAATTCAATTTTGCATCCTCTATGCCTCCCATACCTGTAAAGTTTCTTGGTAAACTGATCAAAATAAACTTGGCAATCCACATGGCTTTATCGTTGTTGCTGATTGCAGTATCTGTTGTGGAAAAATTTGTGTCCTTGACCCTTTGTACTCTTAATCCCAGAGATCCTCCTCTGTTTAATAAGCTGTAGACCTAAAAATCACCCTAAGGTAATAGTGATGGTTTGCTCACCCTACATCTGTCAGGTCTTAGAAATGGGATGCCATTGTGGAAGAAATTTTTTTCAAATTTTAAAGAAAGTACATCCACTTGAACTCCCCAAGAAGCTTGTTTCCCTGCGCTCACTCAGTGGGCTTTTGATTCTGTCCCTTCTTTGGGGATGTGCCTTTTGGTATATATATGCTGTAATCTTGAAGTTGAAATTTATATGCAAAATGTTACTTTTTGAAAAAAAAACTAAATAAAATGATTTTACTATCACTGTTGAGTAGTGTTATCTGTCTTGGAACTTTAAGGAAGTTTCACAAGAGAACCCGACACTCTGGTAATGTATAAAGCCAAGAGCCTCTTACTATAGATGTTTTAAGTCATATAAGGAGGGCTTAAGGCTTAAAATGAAAACACCCTGGTTCAGAAATGTGGGGGAAAAGGAGCAAGAAGGGAAGGCTATAACCAGGCCATGTGCTCAGGACCTTGGGTATGCTAGTCTTCAGGCCATAGCAAAAAGAAGAAGGCTTTAGTGATGGTCTTTTCGAGATGCAGCAGTTCTTCACCTACTGACCTTCACAACCTGGCCCCTTCTTACCTTTTTGGTCATCACACACTTAACTTCGCCAACCCATCTGGGAGACTTGGTGGGCCTGTTTTGGATAGCTTGTGATAATGTGTGATGAAAAGGTCCTCCCCCTAATTCAAAGCATGGACAGGTGTTCTGTGATTATTTCTTGCCTGCTTCATTGTGTAGTGAAGAAAAGCTTTTCAATTGGTCTCCGAGCTAGAGAGTACGCACAAAAGGTTCCCACTGAGACTCTAGCTTTCTCTCTCTGTCTCTCTCTGTCTCTCTCTGTCTCTCTCTGTCTGTCTGTCTCTCTCTCTCTCTCTCTCTCTCTCTCTCTCTCTCTCTCTGTCTGTCTCTCTCTGGTGGCTTTTGAGAAGAAAAAGAACTGCTGTGGGTCTTTGGATGGAAAGAAAGGTAGTCACTTTGTACACTTTCCCACCTAGCTCATGCATGCGGTTGTGAACACATGGTGCCTCTTTGTGTTTGTTCTTACTTTTGGATGAATGAGTATCAATCGGAGTAGACAAGGATAACTTGATAAAATTCAAAAGGTTTGAAGGAGCCACTGGAGGTCCAATGATGGGAGTTAATGGCAAGAAGGGGTTAAGGGTGAAGCTCAAGGAGAGGAGGATGCTGGGAAGGACTCCCTAAGATATCTCACTATGTAAACAGACCCTCTTAAGGTATGGAGGTCAGGGTGGAAGAGGGTCCAAATGCTTTTTCAGAAGGTCATCCTGGGCAGCGTCGTGGCCAAGACGAGGCTTAAGAGAAGTGGGGTTGACTCTTTATAAATTTGAATTGTAGTAGAAAAGTAGAAAAAGAATAACTTGGGTCTTTTGAACTATATAAAAATGGAAGAAGAGGGTCTGGAAGGAAGACATTTATCCCATTTCAACACCTCTTCTCACAAAAAAATGGGATTCCCTATTTAGTCACAGTTCAGGGTTGTTTGGTTTCATCATTGTCAGTTATTGCTGGCTGTACCTTCACAAAAATTGACCATGTATTAGAGCTTAAAAGCCTTACCAAAAAAAGCAGAAATTTATATTTTACTGACCATAATGCAATGAAAATTACATTAAATAAAAGGCCTTTGAAACAAAGTTTACAAATTAATTGGAAGATAACAATTCTAAAGAATGAGAGGGCCAAAGAAGAAACTATAAAAACAGTAAAAAAAAAAAAAAAATCTCATTAAAGATAACAACAGTGAGACAACACACTCAAATTTGTGGGGTGCAGCCAAAGCATTATATAGGGGAAAATTCATATTTCTAAATGCTTACATCAGTAAGAGGGCAGATTAATGAATTGGACATGTAAAAATTAAAAAAAAAACTAGAAAAAAATTTTTTTTAAACTTTGTGACTTGCTTTATTGTGATATTTACTTTATTGTGGTGTTCTGGAATTGAACCCACACTATCTCTGAGGTATGCCTTTACTGTTACACCACAGTAGTTTGCTGATACATACTCTGCCACCGTGAAAGCCCGTAGAACCCCCCACCTCCAATTTAAGAAAGAGGAAAATAAATAAAATTGATTAATATAGCAACTCTGACATCATATGAACTTTTTGCATCTCCACCTTTACACTTAGAAGGTAGTATGTTTCATCATGTTTTCTAGGACAAAGGTTGAGCATTGTATTTAATCTGAGTTTAACTACCTTAAATTTTTTAATGAAATATTAACATTGAACAGAAATACAACCAACTAAATTTGCATTAAATATAACTATTTCAGTTAGTTAACTTCAGCATATACCATATCATACTTTTTTATCCTTTTCCTTTAAGTCATTATCAGGATTCTGTGTACATTGTAATGAACTTTTCTTTACCCCTACCTTTTCTTTACCTCTCCCGTCCAATCAGTTGCCAAATCTTGATGATTTTGCCTTTATAACAACTCTTGAATCTATCCCCTTTTCCCTCTGACATTGGTACTACTCTGGTCCAGGCTCTCATCACCTCAGCCTAGACTGTTGTAATAGCCTGCTGGGCAGTCTTTGCCTTATGTATTTTCTCACATGGTCAAAATTTAATGACTTTTCTTCTATATTTTGAAGGAATTTTGTAGAATGGTTGAACCAATCCATTGGCTTTGTATGTCCTTTTTGCTCCTAACTTGACTAGTTCCATTTCTTGGTGATCTTTGCCAATATGCTTGGCGTGAAGTGATACCTCAGAGCTATTTCAATTTTGATTTCTCCTAGTAGTGATTTGGTAGTACTTTATATGGTTGTTGATTTTTTTTTGCATTTATTCTTTTGAAAACTATTCAAATTCTTTGACTATTTATCTACTTGAGAATGACCCTTAATTTTATATATTTTTTTGTAATTTTCTTGGATATCTTAGCTGTCAGACTTTTGCCAGAGATATTTAATGCAAATATTTTCCCTCTGTTCCGTAGTTTCTCTTCTTATCCCAGTTGTGTTGATTTTGTTAGTATGAAAGCCTTTTCATTTTATATGACCAAATTGTTTATTTTGTCATTTGTCTTCTACCCATTGGTTGATTACCAATTTTTGCCCAATCAGTATTTGGAAAGATATCTTCTTCTGTTCTAATATTTTTATGGCTTAACCATTTATATTTAGATTATTCTATTTGGAGCTGATTGTGGCATATAGTATA